AGCGGGATGGAATTTAAAGATCCTCATGGACCGTGGTCTCGGGCCCGTTGCTCGTGTCAGCATGGGTTGAAAATTTTACTAATAGTAAATAACAAAAGTGCCGACGTGCAGGTGCATAATGAAAGCGAGTAGTAAGCAAAATCTATTCCAAAAGCTACTGTGGTTTTATACATTTTTTAATTTACTAAAATAGAAGAACTTGAATGAAATTGAATAAATTGGAAATGGTTAAATGTGAAAGTTTACGAATAAATATGTTGCAAACAAACACGAAAAAATCAGTCAGTTTTTCCGTAACACCCGGGTTAGTTTTACCCTACGGATGAGATATTGCTGCGATAGGAATAAAGCTCAGTAGAAGATGAACTGCAGATTCGGATCACTGGCATTTGCACTTGGCTGTTGGATTATGACTCAATGCCTCGAATAATAACAATAATAATAATAATAATAATAATAATAATAATAATAACAACTTTATTTAAGGAGGGTAACACACAATAATTCAAATGATGAACTAGTGGCCCTCGATCCTAAAGTACCGTATTTAGAATTAAAATGTATTTGAGGATTATAAACCTGGTCAACAGGTCTATAAGAATGCAAGCTAAAAACTAGATAAAATAAAATATGCCGCTTTGGTTAGGATAAATCGCCTTCAGACTAAAATACTCTACTTCATCGCAGCTCGTTAGAAAATGTCTATGAAAGGTCTTTCTGGAAAAAGCAACTGTTGTCGCCTCTTTTTTAGGTTAATGGGTAGTTGGTTCCATAGCCTTGTCGCAAATACGCTAAAGGACCTCCCTCCCTCGGTTTCGCGATTGAAACGAGGGCAGGCGAGATTTGATTTATTATAACGACCAGTTCGTGTGGGTAGGTCTGCATTAAATTTGAGTAGATCGTACATATAAGCAGGACAGCTTCCTTGTCAACGCTTAAAGACTAAAGTACTCTCAATAAACTTAACTTCGTCATAGAAAGGGAGCCATGCTAATTTCTTAAAGAGTTTCACGCAGTTCGACCTTGTGACAGCTTCCAAGGTAACTCGGGAAGCGCGTTTTTGAAGCTAGAAGACCCACATCATGTTATCACTTGAACAGTTCGATCAAACAGTTGATCCATATAACATTAGTTGTGTTATCATTGCGTTATAGTATTATACGAGCTGTTCAATGGGGAGGAATCTTCTTATCTTCCTAAGCACTGCTTTTCTTTGGGATAGCTTCCTACACAGTTCTTCAACGTGAATATCAAAGCTTAAGTGTCGATCAGTGGTAAGTCCCAGGAGTTTCTGATGATCCACCTGCTCTATATTTGAGTTCCCAAGATAAAGATTTAATAAACTATCGACGATCTGATTTGTAAGGCGCTTCCCGGTCACTAAGAGACATTTCGTCTTGGCAGCGTTCGTGACCATCTTGTTGGCAGCTGATCGCTGCGAATGGTCATCTAGGTCTTGCTGAAGGGCTGATGTGATGCAAAGAAGTCCATCTGTCACGTCGGATGAGAAACCGCATAGATGTCAACGGTAGAACGCTGAGCTGCTAAGGGTAGGTCGTTGATAAAAAGGAGAAACATAACGAGGCCCAATATACTCCCTTGTGGTACTCCAGCCGTCACAGTTCTTGGGGAGGAGAGACATCCGTCAATGACTACGTACTGTTTGCTTTCACTCAGATAGTTGCGTAGTAAGTCTAATTCGTGACCCAGAGACATGAGGGGACGCAAATCGTCTGTACTGTAAGTATCCCGGAGAGTCCCCTACATTTTCTTAGACTTTTGATCTAAGAAAATGTATGGGGACTGTAAGGTGTCATAATCCTGTTGCTGCTGACAT